ATATGTGCGTGTCTCTGGACAACTTCCATCATACCTCTGAGCTTTGTCTGAGCACCAGATTTCTAAGTCTAAGAGGCAACCCTGACTAGGCAGGCTCTGCCTGAAACCACCTGCCATGACCCAGTAAATGCTTGCTAATGAAAAAAGATCACAACATAAGCACCAGAGGGCCCATGATGCCATGGATGTCAGACACACCATATTTCCTCAAATGTTAAGAAAAGAATCTTTCGATGTTGCTAATGAAGCCATGGCTGCACACCTTGCCCCACACCTCATCACCCTCTTATGTCACCAGGAATTTGTGTTTCGTCCTCACCCAAGGACTTCTTCCAAATTCATTGGGAGATAAATTTTTATTGTAGATCATTATAATACAAAAGTTTTTTAAAGGAAGGGGCTGGAGTATAGGTCCGTGGTGAAAAGCTTGCCAAGTATGTGCAATGCCCTAATTTCTATATCTAGCACTGTTAAAATTAACTAGTTAATTAAGAAAATAAGGCTTGTCTTGCAAGGTCAAGGTGCTGAGTTCAATTCACAGTATCATAAAAGTGAATAAAGTAAAAATTGAAAAGATCAGGGAAATCCATTGGTTGAGGTATTTCTACAACTTCTTCCAGGTCAGAATCACTTCTCTGAATTAACCATGCTGTGACCCACAATCTTGCCCCCCACTACTTCTTCTGCCCAACAGGTGAGCAGCTCTCTCTGCTCTAGGCTCATCCTCCCTGCTGAATTCTTGTGCCCCGGGAAGGTAGTCCTCCCCACTCCTCTCCTTTGGTTTCCAGACTTTCCCCATCAGGGTTGGTGCCAAAGAGGCCGAGGGCTACCTATGTCTCTTCCCACTCTTCAACACATGAGAAGTCACATGGAGCAGGCACATGTGGGATCCTTCACACACCCCTCCATCCCTGCAACCCAGATTTCAGAAATGGACAGATGTTGTGTTAAAGCTGATGCGGTAGCAATGGCATGTGTGCGAAGGAAGACAAACTGGGCTTCTGAGGCTTTATAAGTCAGCCCTTCCAGAAGGCAGGGAGGGTGGAGGGGAGAAGTTCCTGGATTACAGGAGATTGAAGCCAGGGCTTGGCAATGAGCTATATCCTCAGTCCTTTATCTTTTTAGTTTTTTAATCTTTATGTGTTTGGTAAGGGTCTCACTATGAAGCTTGGACTCCTAGTGATCCTCCTGTTTTTAGCCTCCTCAGAGCTAGAATTACACGCATGCAACACCACACCACAGGTCTCATGCTGTCATGGTCTAGCTGGTCTCTGTGGCCAGCTCAGCATGCCGGTGGGTGGGGCCAGCACAGCATGGGGTGCTGGAGATCCCCAGTCCTTGTGCTTGCCTAAGCTATCTTTTTATTTTTGAGACAGTCTCCTTAAATTGTTAAATTTCTCACACTGGGCTTGAACTTGTGACCTTTCTGCCTCAGTCTCCCAGAGTGCCGTGTTTATAGTCACACTACCATGTTCAGTTTGGGAGACTTTGCTTCAGCCTTCCCCACTAGGGGAAGCTATGGTAGCAAAGGCAACTTGGGGCCTGGACTGGACTTTGGGGCACAGGTTCCAGCAGAGGTAGCTCTTGATTCTCTGCTTGGGTCCTGTTACTTCTGGGCAGAGGCTCCATGGCTTATGCAACTCAGACCACAGGGCAAGCGCAAACGGAGGAAGCGCCTGGTTTCCCTTGGAATCCTGGAGTCCTGAGGAGATGGCAAGGCAATAGTGCCCACTTCAAGCTGGCAGATTCACATTCCTCCCAGTTGCCCCTGCTCTGGGCCTCAGTTTCTGAGTAAGCACAGTAAAAGGTGCCCTCAGGCTCCAGAGCAGACTCATAGTCTCGAAGTTAACAGAGCCCAGGATCCTTTCATTCCTTTCACTTACAAGTTCCCACCAAGGCTTCTCTTGGGGAACTCAGAGCAGGGAAAGCCAGCAGGTCAGAGGAACTTTATTTTAAGAAGTCCAGTAGCAGGGGAAAGGGTGGGATGCCTTGCTCTGCCTGCACCAGTGATACCCCAGCCTACAGCCAGTCAGAGTCCCTGAGACCTGCGGAGCCCAGGTCTGCAAAGAGTGCCACCCTGCTTAGCCCTCTCAACAACCCCAGAGACCTGGCTGCTCCTGCAACCAACCAGGAGGACAAGTGGCTCAGGGTCGGGGCACAGAAGTCAGGGATAGACTGCTTGCTTATAATCGCAGACTTGGCAGTGCTGCTGTATACTGCCACGGGCCCAATCCCCAGCCCTCCCTCTACTTTGCCCTTCTCTTCTGGAGGGTTCCAGTGTGCTCCATCATTGTCCCTAGATGTTGGCTTGCTGGGGACATTTCCCCAGCCACCAGCTCCAAAGGCTTCAGGAAGCGCAGCAGAGGTCTGGACTGCTTGTGCAGTCTCAGCATTTTGTTTCCCAAGACCTTGCTGTGGAGAAGAGACTTGTGTGGCAGTGGTCCAGGAGGAGCAGAGCACGGGGCTTTCCCTTGCCCAGGCCTACAATATGCTAGTGACTGGTGACAGGAGGAGTCACAAAATGTAGGTAGGAGCCCCAGGCAGTGCCCAGGATCCCTGAGGATTGGTCAGGACCTTTACCTAGATTCTCAGCTTTTGTCTGCTTCTGTACCTTCTCTCCTTGTGGGAGCAGCTGGGAGCTTCTGTTGGGTTTCAGGGATTCTCCCCAGCAAGAAAAGCCTAGCTGGCCAGACAAGCAGGCTCAGTGCACTCTCCCTCTGTCTGCAGCTGCAGTGGACCAAAAAAGCTGAGCAGTTTGGTGGCAGTGACTAAGCTCCAGAATAGACCCCTCTTTTGGGGCTCATTGAGGTTTCCCAATGAGCTATGGCTGACCTGGGAACCAGAGTCCCTGAGAAAGACTCCCCATCTGTACCTAGAGGGTGCTGTACTTTCAGAAATTTCTGGGCCCTTTTATTCTGCCACTAGAGTCCCACTATCCCGCCCCACCCCTGGGTCCCAGCTAGTGAGAGGAAGTCCCAGAAAACACCTTAGATGCACATAGCTAATTTGACAAAAGTTGAAATGCCTTGAGTGTAAAATGGGAGCACTCTGAAGCCACTGCAGCTTGTGAGTCTGTTTTCTGCCCTCCTTTCACAATTCTCTGGGTGACAAAGACCACTCTGGAGACCTCCTGGTGACAGAAGTGGTCTTTAACTTTGCTGCCTTTGAACTGTGATGAATTACCTGCCCCTACCCAAGTCACCTGGCTGCTGTGAACTGTATAAGAAAGTCACCAGATTTGCCAGGTTGAGCTGACAATGTGTTTGTACTCAGACTCTTGCACTTGCCAGGCAAGCACTTATTCTACTGAGCCATCTTCCCAGCCTCCCTGAAGATTCTTTCTTCTAGCAATCAAGGCAGCCATCTTTCATGGGTCCTTGAGGAGTCTGGGATTTGTATGCAAGCTTGAATTAAGATGCCTGAGCCAGCATGAGAAGGTTTTCCAGAGATTTGTTAGGCAGAGAGGCAGAGAACAGCTAGTGGCCCTCAAAAAGTATGCTCTCTTCATCTTTCATTCCTCTGTCCTTGAGAGTGGAGGTGTGGGGGAGGGTAAGTCCAACCACAGTTTCTAGAAAAGGTCCTTGTCACAATGTATAAAGGAAGCCCCCATTAGCATAGGCGGGGGCCATAGAGATCACTGCTACAGAATCACAGGAAGCCTGGGCTGAGGAAGCATGCATGTTTGGAACTGTCCCTCATTTTGGGAACTGGAACAGCCTGGATGTGAACTCTGGTCCTGCTTATAATTTTGCATGACCTAGCTGTGTCCCTTTTCTGAGCTTTAGACAGCAAAGTAGACATCTCTCCATTCCCAACCCTTGCCATTCACCCCCATCCACCGTAGAACGCCCAAGAACAGAGGCCACCTGCAAGCTCTGAGCCGGTCTAGAGCAGAACCAATGGAAACCTCCCTGCCAAGGATCCTGTTCCCAAGCTGCACCGCTCAAATGCACCGCCTCACCCTGGGATCTCAGGCAACTCACTGCCCTTTCTTTGTGCTGGTCAGATGCTCTCACTACTAGAAGTCCTGTCTCTGTGAGGGCAGGTGCTACCTCCCATGCCTAGCCCACAAATAACTTGTGGACTCTGGGAAAATTGGGGGAGCATGTGGGCAAGGTCTGCCATGGAGGCTCCCCTCTGCTTCTGAACCCTGCTTCCCACTCTTCTCTAAAAGGGCTGAGCAGGGCCAACTCAAGGACTGCACAAGTCGGTCAACCTCCCAGGAGATAAGCCAACAACCCAGGCTGCTGGAGTCCTAGGCCCTTTTGCTGATTCAGGTGACTGCTCTAACCTTAGCCTTTGGAGTGTGAGGGTGGGAAGGAAGGGGTTCACAGTGATCCCTCATACCCAGCGCTACTGTGATTCCTGAGCTTAGGTCCTGCCCTCCACAGAGCCAAAGGAAAGGCTGTTTTAGAAGCCACAGGGAGCATCCTTCTTACCTCCCGACCAAGTCCTCCACCTCATGCCTACTTCAAGCCCCGCACCAAGCCCAACTGTGTCATAAAATATTTTATTGGAAAAAAGTCACCGTCTTCGCAAGAGGAGGGTAGGAGCCCCTGCGACATCGGACGGGTTTCGGGCCAAGCAGCCTGGTTATCCTGCTGGTGGCCTGCTCTGGCCGCTGGGTGCCCGGCCTGCGCGCGGAAGCGGATGTGTGCCTGGCTGCGTGGACCCGGAGGCCGCCCGAGGCGGGGGTGTGGGCGAGGAACTGGGCGTGCATGTATGTGGGGTGCTGCGCCGCGGAGCTCCGAAAAAGACTGTGACTTCCGCCGTGCAGCTCGAGACTCTTCCAGGTTAGGACCAGGTGCGCCTGGGTTTGGCTTCAGAGTCTGTGTCCTTCCCTGTTGGGCCCCTAGTTGTCCGCATTCAGAGTAATAATAAAATATTTAGAAGGCAACCGGCGTGGACGCAGAAGGGTCGACGCGCGGGCTCCCGCGGGCTCCGCGGGCTGAGGGGCCGCGGCGCAGGGTCCCAGGCTGGCTTCGCACCCACTCCCGAGCTCAGTCCTCGCGGCTCGGGTCGCTGGGCTCGGCCGGCGCCTCAGCCGGCTTCTCCGCCTCCTTGGTGCGCTCTTGCTCCGTAAGCTGCTCGCTCGAGGGGATGGAGTTCTTCTTGGGCCGCCCCTTGGGCTTGGTTGGGGATTCCAGGCCGCCGCCCTGCAGCACCTGCGTTGAGGGCAACCAGTATTGCGGTGAGCCAGGAGGCCCAGGGAACCCGGTACCGGGGCCGAGCTGGGCAGAAGGACCGTCTCTGAAGGTGGCTCCCGGCCCTTGGGAAGTGGCAGGCATTTGAGGGAGTGCTGCAGCAGAAAAGAAGCCGCAAGATCCAGCTAGGAGTTCAGGCTGCCGGGAAACCCGGGAGAGTGCATCGGGACAGGAAGAAATGCTGGGGCACCCAAAGGGACAGAAAAAACCGAGAGGGACCACGTAAGCCCCAAGTGCCAAGGGAACCGCGAGGGGTGGGAGGAGGAAGAGCGCCAAGCTGGCGTTTCTTGGAGCTCTTGGGAAATGGACGGGAAACCGCCTGGGAAACTGCGGGCGCAGGGAGCCACCGCACACACTCACTATTTTCTTCCACTTCATCCTCCTATTCTGATACCAAGTCTTCACCTGCAACTGGCTCAGGCCAAGGGACTCAGCGAGATCTATTCTAGAAAAAAAGAGCAGAACGCACACGTAGCAGGCCAGCGGTCACGGAGCCCCCTTCCACCACCTCCCGGCCCAGTGTCGCCCGCTCTACCTGTCTGGCGTGGAGAGATACTTTTGCTTCTCGAAGCGTTTCTCCAGGCCCATCAGCTGCAACTCCGTGAACACCGTGCGGCTCCGGCGTCCCTTCTTGGCCTTTGTGCCCGGCTCCCCAGACCCCGCAGCCTCCAACTTCCCTCGTAGCTGCAGCTCCAGAGGCAGGTGCGCGGCACCCGCAGCTCCGGGCAGCCCAGGCCCTGTAGCCAACAGCGCCGAGCCCAGCCCAGAACAACCAAGTGGCGCCAGTGGGAACTTGAATACTGCTGCTTGCTCGGCCTTCAGCACTGCTGTGGAGATAAGAGGATAGGTAGTGGGGTAAGCTTAAGTCTGAGACCCTCAGTCTCCGAAGTACCACACGCAGCCAGGCCTTGGAGGCCTGAGATCAGCCAGTGCCACCCAGAGCAAAACCTCAACACCTGGGTGCACCACGGAGGAGTTGAACAAGTCCTGAAATGTTCCCCCTCTAGGCTGTTTTCCTGGGAGTCTGGAAGGAAGGTCTTCCTCAGCCCTGTGTGCCGCCCTGGCCTTCCCCAAGCCCCAGTCGCCTCTAAGACGTTGAGCTTCTGCAGGAACAAGTTCGAGGCTCCAAGAATCCAGCATTGTATTCCGCAGGAAAAAAAAAAAAAAAAAGAAAACCAAGAAGAAAGGGCTTCAAGTTAGGAAGGTGGGCAACTGACCCAACCAAATCCGCATTCAGAGAAAAAAAGCAGGAGGCAGCAGTGTGCATGCACACTTGCTACTCCTTGTTCCACACTGCAGCCGTTCATCGGGCAGCAGCCGAGGTGTCCCAGAGGGTGGGGTTGGGGCTTCCCGGAAATTCCAAAGCACCCTGCGAACATGAAAACTGTGCCTTTGTTTTCTCCATTCAGGTTCTTCCTAATGAGGATGTTTACATGTTCTTTAGTCCTAAAACGATCTTTTGCCCGCTTCAAACGAATTATTAACGACAGAGCAGATGCTTCCATCTGAATGGCAGCCCTGACACTGTGTTCTAGATGAACTTAGAGGAAGCTGGCCCTCCACCACTAGCCAGTTCCAGAGAAGGTGGTGTGTGGGACTGGGATCCATCAGCTCGCCGCAGAAGGTGTCATTCCCTCTTGGACTTCTCAATCTGGGACAACCCTACTCCTGTTGTGGTCCTCAAGGGATGGATCAAGGACCAGGTAAAGGTCAGGAGGAGGGTGCACAAGAAATCCTTAGGCAAAGGTAGGAGAGGACCCCACTAAAAGAAAGTGGCCCCACCAGCCCTGGGGAATAGAGGAGGAAGACAAGGGAACAGAGCAGAGCTAGGAGGGCAGAGCAGGACAGAGCAGACCCAACAAAGGAAAAAGATCTGGCAGAGGCCGGCCAGGTCGAAACGAAAAGCAAAGCTCCAGCTGAGGCCCAGCCAACTTGGAGGTGGAAAGGCCAGCTGCGGCACACAGCAGGCCTCTTGCTGCCTAGGTCCCGCAGGTCTGCCCTGCAGCCCCAAAGGAGGACTGGTTTGTTACCCATGGGGGTGCACTAAGCTCAGAAAGGGTCTGGGAAGGCTTGAGCCATCGTCCACACTCAGCATTCAGAGATTTGGGCCGCCTCTGCTCGGGAGGTCCCAGCTTCCTGGGCTTGGGGAATGAAGGCCACTGCTGATCAGCCTTGCGCAGGAAACTGAAGCACCCGCCATCCGATGTCCCGCAGATCCTTAGTAAGAGACCACTCACTGGTCTTGGCGCCTGTGATGGGGATGCTGACTCTCATTTCAGGCTAGGCCCCCCCCAACAGGCAAAGGGGCCGCAGAGCAGCCACGAAGCAGAGAGCAAACGCCTTCCCTGGCCTGGCCTGCAGGCAGGAGGCCTGGTTTATGCGTGGCCGATTGCCTTCGCCCTTTGCTTCCCGTTCCAAAAGCCTGAGAGACGGACCCGGCCTACGCGCTCAAAGGCCGTCAAGGCTAGGCTTTAGGTCCATTGGAGAAAGAGGATGGTCTCCCGGCGTCCCCTCGGCGCGGCTTGTCCCCCACCCTCGCCCTGCTCGTCCCGAAGCCCCGCAGCGGCCACACGTACCCAGGTGGCTGTGGAAGGGCCGCGCCGCCAGCAGCGCCTGCACGCCGAACTTAAGCAGTTCGCTCGCGGCGGCGGCGGCCGCAGGCGCGGCGCCCTTGGGCCCGGGCGGCTCCGTGAGGATCTCCTCGATCATGAAGCTGCGGTAGCGGTGCGGCCGGTGGTCGCCACAGCCCTCAGGCGGGCCAAAACGCACAGTGCCGGGCTCTCCAGGCCGCTGCATCGCGACGCTCGCGGACGCACCCGCGGCTGGGCAGCGGCGGTGGCT